GCTGAGCTCCGACTCCGTGAGATGCTGAAGTGTAGGATGCGCTAAATGAGATCATGCAAATTATAGGTGTTCACTGAATGACCCGTCTCTTCTCAACCAACAACCCCCCAGTTAAGCTCCCCAGAAATAAGCAGCTGCCTTCGCACATTCCTGCTTTAGCCTGTTCATAAAATAAGGATAACTTACTCCTCTTTGGACAGGCTTTTGGCTCTCATACCTCTTTTCATCCCCAAATGATGGGGGGGTTAATTGGTGCCAAGTACCCAATTTACAGCCTGCTAACACAGCCCAGGCAGGTGCTGCTGTGCAGGATGGAGCCCTGCTTCCCCTCTCCACCAGCCAGTGGGATGCTGCCCATCGCCCTGGGCACAGCAGCCCTGGCAAGGCCAGACTCTGCCACCAGCCATGCCTTTGATCCCAGCCTCAGGAATGTCCATGGAAAGGGCCTTGCTTTCAGGCCACCATGTTCAGCTTGTACAAACCACAGCAGCACATGATTTATGTGAGTAAACTGGCACTGAAGCATCTCTCTGCAACTGCAGCTAAGTATTAGGGGAGTGGTTTTCAACAGAAAGTAAGGGAATCAGAGCACAGCTCCTTTGGATACTGATGAAAATGCAAGGCTAAAATTCCAAAAGAAATGATTCTGCAAAAAAAAAAATAAAATTGGCTGTCATGACGGCTGGGATTTGGAGTTTCTGTGTTAATATCAAGGCACAGAGGTGTGGTAGGAAGATGCTCTAAGCTTAAGCCTGATGCCAGGCTGTGGCTCAGCCTTCTTGCCTGGGAGTGAGACGTTCACCTGCAAGAAAAACTGGCTCTGATTTTTGCATTTGTGCACAAAGAGTCAGTACAAGCAGCTTGTGCCTGGTTTGTTGCTGTCATGTAGGAGCTTTGATCAATTCCAAATAGGATTCGTGCCTGCCATTCCTTGGAGGACAGCTGTGTTCCCAGTCAGAGGAATGAAGTCCTCAAAATCTGACTTCTGCCTTCATTTTGTACATCTCCATGTTTTATTAAAAACCATCTGAGATTAATAAAGAATAAGATGAATGGGAGATTACCTGGGGGACCGCAGCTCTTTCAGGGACAATTAACTACAAGACATTTGAAAGTATGTATTTAAAGAAGAAATTATCATCTTGCTGACAACTTTGCATAAACCTTCTTCCCCCTTCTCTAGCTGTCATCTTTAACAGGATACTGGGGTCAAGAATGATGCCTTTGAGCTCAGAAAGCAAAGAGACATTGTGAAATGCTTCTGGAAATGACAGATGCTGACAGTGCATTTGCCAAAGGACCAAGGGGACAGGCAGATCCAACTTCAACCCACTTCATCTCCTTCCACAGTCACATCTAGCCCTTTGTACACAGCCTATTCTTCAAGGGCCCCTGCAAAGAAAGCATTACCTCGGCCTTGTACATGGGAAAACGAGAGGTGCTTAAGGCCAGAAGGAGGTGAAACAGCCCATTGGCACCATCGCGCTCCTGGAAGGAGCTCCCACGCTCTGACTGCACCAGCACAGAGGCACTTACTCATGCTGCAGCAGGTCTTTGAAGTGAATCATCTCCACAATGACCTGGACGTTCTCCTTGGCAGCAGAGCAGAGGTCATGCTTCAGGTAGCACTCCCGCTGTAACTGGAACACCATCTCTTTAATGGCAGGGCACTTACGGCTGATGCAGCTGAATTTATGCCTCAAGGCATGAGCCTTACACTTCAGAGCGTCTTTAATGAAGGATTTTCCCTGAGAAGAAAAGAAATGGAGTAGGTCTGTATTTTTGTCCATTAAGTACGGCAGCTGATTTATGCCCAGCCAGCTGCTCCTCTGCAGGACAATGTCAAGGGTTATTACAGTGCTAAGGGTATCACTTAATGGCTTTTCGCTCTCTTCTCCTTGTTTCTCTGCCCTTAAAGACCATGCCAAGTCACCCAGCTTTGCTATCCCAGTGGATCTGAGACATCCAGGGCTTCCTCACTGGTGCTTTGAGGTTTCCTCTCACCCAACAGCTGAATGCCCAATGAGGGAAAGATCAAAAGTAAGCACCTTAAAGTAGTTCAGTGCTGGAGTTACTGGATTAATTTGCTTCCAGGATGGCAGAACAGCAGGTTCAAATAAAAGAGAGGGCATCCTGCCATGGCTGAGGTCCTCAGGACCACAAACAGATACCCATTCAGTAACTGCAAATTAGGTTTTCTTTATTTTAAAATTAGTTCACAAACTCACAGACATGTATGCATGATTTATAAGCACCTGCCCCATTCTCCAGCTGTCAATACTTTCTC